AAACAGCGTGATTTTGTTTACCATAAACAGCTCCTTAACATTCTATTATTCAAAAATATTTTCACTTTCTACGTAAATGAAGTGGTGGGTAGAATTTAGCGTTATGCCAAAGGTTAACAAAATTCAACGCGGACGAATTTGCGGGCAAAAGCTAGTGTCTTCTAAATTAGTATTTTCTTCAATTGTCGCTAGCCATAGACACAGCTAAAACTACACTAACGGTTTAATCTTAAATTTATCATTAATACATTTATAGTATTAGTGGCTACAGCTATATTCATCTATATAATTACACACAAAAAAAAACTCAATTTATAATATACCATAGTAATAGTCAAGTCCTAATTTACATCTCGCGACACCTCCCTTCTTGTTTGTCTCTCCACATATATATTTCACAGATCGCAGTAATTCTGAAAAAGTAGAAGATTCTGTAACGAAGATATAGAAAGAAAACTTATTTTTACTCATTCAGTATATTATAGTAATAAAATAGCCAATTCTCAGTTTATTAAAGAGTACCTACTAGGAAGTGTTATAAACCTATAAAAGTACTCAATAATGAACATTGGCGCATCAATTACCCAAAAAAAATTTTTTTTTTGTAATGCGTATGTAGCTGGACGAGCCCACGGCCCACCTGGTGCTAAGTGGTTACCGGAGCCCATAGACATCTACAACGTAAATGACGCCCCCACCCTTCAAACCGAAACGCATTACTGCTTCACTGCGGAAATAGGCAGGGCGGTGGTATCCGTGCGGACTCACAAGAGGTCCTACCACCACCAAATATTACAGAAATTGTGCATATTAGTTTTGCATTTAAAGCTAGAAACAAGTACAGTATGATTCTGACGGAAGCGAATATCTGCCTATGTTTTCAAGTTTATTAATTAGTATATTTCGATTTAAACGCTCAACACACAAAGCGTTTGTTGGCGGCAAAATGAATAGTTTCCGTAAGTTTTGGAACGGTCCTATTTCTTATAATAATTGTGTTTTCACTATTATTAGAGGGAATTAGCTCGCATGGGTAGGTACCACCATCGTGCCTATGCCTGTCGCGAGACAGTCTTGCTGTTTGGCTTGATGGATGGGACCTTATATTAGGGGTTAAAGTATAAAATTGCCGATTTGTACTGAGAAGTTGTAGTTCGTTTTTATTTTTATTTAACATATTTATTTATTCAAAATATCTGCCATTATTATCTATACATTGCTGCCATCTAATAGGATGGTGATTTATGCCTTTAGGATAGAACTCTGGTGATACAAACTGTGTGAAAGTACTGCCTCCTGGAAAGAAAACTTTTTATCACGTGGAAAATTGCCCAAATCACGAAAAATATGTTAATCCGTTGGAGCAAGGTCTGGCGAATACGGAGGGTGACGAAAGATTTCTAATTGCAGTTCCTGTAGAGTTAAAACGGGTCCCTCTCCCGCGACCTGCCCTCCGACCGCGTCCGACAATCTCGCTTTAGCGATCGACTTCTTTCAGTCGATCAACTTTGAGCGCGTTAACGCTTTTGGCGACGCCATTCGCGCTGCCTCCACTGCACAACACTTTATCGCCGTTGTGCAGGAATACGCCGACGTATACGCGTCATTAAATACGTACGTCCTCCCCTCACTCCGCCGGTAATCAATGGCGTATANAAAAAAAAAAAAAAAAAAAAAAAAAAAAAAAAAAAAAAAAAAAAAAAAAAAAAAAAAAAAAAAAAAAAAAAAAAAAAAAAAAAAAAAAAAAAAAAAAAAAAAAAAAAAAAAAAAAAAAAAAAAAAAAAAAAAAAAAAAAAAAAAAAAAAAAAAAAAAAAAAAAGTTAAAACGGTTTCTCGTGCTGTATGAGGTCTCGCGTCATCATGGAGCAATAATGGTGAAGATCGATTCATGAGTTGGGGCTGTTTTTATTGGTAAGCTTTGCTTTAGGACACTGTTGCGGCGTTTGACCTGGTGTTAGCCATTGCATTTTTCGCTTACGGTTATCGTAAAGAATTCACTTTTCGTCACGTGTCACAATTCGATCCAATATTTCTTCATTTCTGTATCGATTCAACAAGACAACACAAGTTTCAACACGCCTTTCTTTTTGCAGATCAGTCAAATCATGAGGCACCAGTTTTTCAATTTATTTTATTGATTTAACGCAAATGAGTCAATGTTGTTGGTAAGGTAACGATAAACCATGCCGCTAATTCCTGGGTAGTTTAGCTCGGATCGGCTTCAACCATCTCTTTCATTTCATTACTATTCACATGTGTGGACGGTTTTCCAGGTGGTTCGTTGTTGAAATCAAAATTTCCATCACGAAAGCATTTAAATGAAAATCGCACGATGCGATCATTAGCAGTCCCCTCTCCAAACGCAACATTGATATTGCGAGCTGTTTCTGCAGCGTTAGTTCCGCGTCGGAACTCGTATTCAAAAATCTCTCGAATTTTCGAAGAATACGCTGGATAAAAAAACAACTGAAATCGACTTTCATATCGAATCGAATATTGCCCAATTTTTAAAAGAAGTACCTCATAGGTACCTTTTGAAAAGTTTTACTCAAAAATCTCAAAACATGAAGGTTCTATGTCAATTCGAAGTACCTATTACAATAAAATGGCAATTTCATACTTTAACCCCTATTATAAAGCAATATCCGGTAGTAGAGTCTGCGAGGCACTGCTCTTGCTTTGGTCAGTGTTACAAGCTCTCTCAGGTTGAGCTCGTGAGCTCACCTGCCAGTCTGAGTAGCTGGAATAGCTCCTTAAGCTACCAGCCATTAGGAACAACAAAAGAACGCAATTGAGTCTTCGACCTTATAACTCAAGATATGTGACAAAATAATAAACGGATTAAGTCGTAAACTTAATATTAATTTTTTTAGGCAGTAGCTAGACTATACCCCTGGCATTGCATTAAAATGATGAGCAACGGAAACTACTTACCATCAAGTGTAATATAAAAAATAAAAATAAAAGAAATTGTATGCGACTCGCAAAAACCAATCGCAAAACAATTTAAACCTACTTTTACCGTCCCCAATTAGCATGTGTGTATGTCCGATTACAGGCAGATAATTATCACACAAAGGAACACTGCTGTTGCTCTTCTTGATCGAATAGAACAGTAGCACGACACAAACAACAACTAAGACAATGAGAATAAACATCTTGATATCTAAGAGCTGAGAAATGAAACTGTGCTTAAGTACCGAAGTATCTGTCTTATATTGCACGTTGCAATGTTTTGTCCGTTGTTTAAATATTTCAATAATCAATATTCAATTTGTCTGACCTTTAACAAAGATTCAAATATATTATTTGGAGTGCGGTTTTTCATTCTTCCTGATGTGATATTCAGTGTGAATGACGCTACTTCGGACTAGTTGCCATTTTACGTGTCTATTTAAGACAACAAACACAAGATCCACTCGGGATGCCGCCGTCGAAGAATTATTTATGTGTCTGTATTTGTTTCGTGAATTAATTATGGGTCATTACTAACATTATAAATGTCGGATTTTTGTTTCTCAATAACGATCGAATAATTTGAATGAAATTTTATTACCTAAATCACACGAAGATACATCATTGCCTGGATTAGGACATTGGTAAGTTTTTACCGAAAATGAACCCAATTAATACGATGCGGATGGACAAAATTGTTATTACACTAATCGGTAGGCATGCCTATTCACTGCCCGCGGATGTTTCTGTTTTTTGTGTTTTTGATAAGGCTGTCCTGCCGTTAAAGACGCAATGTCCAGGTATTTTTACATTCATAGCGCAATGAATGTTAGCCTTTTAGTTGGAGTTAGGCATAACTACCGTCAAAGGAACGCTAAATGAAGGCATCTAGATCTCATTGAAAAACAACAGTGGGTATTTTTAAAACGATTCTGAACGAAAAAAAATTTGGTAGGGTAAGTGCAAAAAAATGTCAAGGAATACTTATTTCTGACAAAATTCTAAACCTTTTTCGTTGCGGTAAGTTCAATCGCTAGATTATCACGTGTAGGTTTTGGCTTACCCCCACAGCAGCTCAGACTAGTTGGCATCGTCCATCAGCCCTCTCGGTAAGTAGATTCAACAAAACCGTCGACAACAGCACTTCGAATTGAGATTGAAGAGCGCAACGTCTTATCCCCTACAATTTCATTTCGCTTAGCGGCATATACATCTCTATCTATATTATATATATTTCATGTAATTGATTTGTATTGAGTTACCAAATAAACATATTACCTTATGTCATTCTTTGTCTTTATTTAAATACTTCTACTTTCACTTTTAGTGCATGCAAATAATAGACAAAAATTTACCGTCCAAGAGAGCTTAAATACAGTTCGATACTGACAGCGTAAGACTGTCTATTGCCTGTTTACGTACGATATCCTTTTATAATTGTTGTGGAAAGCCAGCAAGCAACCTACGGCGTAGCCGATACGTGGTCTACCGCTACCAATACCTATACCTTGTTTTAGGATCATCTTAGGTCATAGGAAACATTATCTATGGTCTCTAGACCAGTGCGGCAACGTGGTTGATTACGCGAGACAAAATGATAAATGAACATATTTCGCGCTACTTTATACTGTTGTACAACCGGTGAAATACTATTCCCACATCAAACATACAATGTAACGATTGGTGAGACGTTTGATGAAGATAGTGTTTTAATTGTAAAGGGGTAGCGTCTAGGTCTTTAAATCGTTCCTAGACTCTGCGGACCACTGGATCCGCGTCTCCGTTATAATTCACTCACTCTTTACATTTTTAACAGTAGACTGAAACAAATCTCCTGTTTATTTGCAGTTATACGCTTTCCACAGCTCAGGCAGACGCTAATTATTGATAAACTTGATCGCTCAATAATAATAAAACAATGAACCCGATGTAATATTTTAGTACAAATAATATATCACGGGCCGCGTCTGTTACCGCCGAAAATGATAAAAGAACGAACGTATGAGATTTGAGTCAGTTTCGCTGCCGAATTCATTGATTACGCCATGTTAATACCGGTTTTCTTAATTATTTTATGCGTAATATTATATTATTTTTATTGGAGAGATAAGAGCATCAATAATGTTCCGTTGTGCGACAAATATCTGCCTATTATTGGACACACGCATCTGTTTATTGGGAACACTAAAAGTGAGTATCAACTGTGTTTAGTACCTACATATTTAGTACAGTACGAATTAGCTACCACCTAGGAAAGAGACGTGTACTAACAATGCGAACCTTCGGCAAATCTGTATAGTCTGGACCAGCGGCTCTCAACAACAATGTCGTGACATTCGGGTATCGCAAACACCCGTCCAGTTTGTCGCGAGGTTTGCAAACACGATATTTTTATCTAAGTTAACCCGAGGATTATCGCACACATCTCTGGGGTAATTAATTGCATTTTCAACTATCAAACAGTTTGCATGTAAGAATATAATTACATATATCGTTAATTAGTAAGAGAATCTTAGTACGCCCCTGAATGAAAAAGGTTGAGAGCCGCTAGCCTAGTTGCAGCAGCACTTTTTTTTTATTGCTTAGATGAGTGGACGAGCTTACAGCCCACCTGGTGTTAAGTGGTTACTGGAGCCCATAGACATCTACAACGTAAATGCGCCACCCACCTTGAGATATAAGTTCTAAGGTCTCAATTATAGTTACAACGGCTGCCCCACCTTTCAAACCGAAACGCATTACTGCTTCACGGCAGAAATAGGCAGGGTGGTGGTACCTACCCGTGCGGACTCACAAGAGGTCCTACTACCAGTAGATATACCACCAGTATGCCTAGATAACAAAAACGTTTGCTCTTTTCGCGTCTCAGGAGTACTTCGAACTGTGAAAAGTATATGTGAAGACACGAACGACAAGGGCGGTGTAACGGTGGCTAGATTAGCACTCCAAGATTATTATGGTATGTAAAACTTACACACATAACAATACTAGGTATATGAATGATTTTATACTTACTAGTGGTCCCGCAGTAGTCGAAATTCGACTATAATTAATTGGAATTGTAAGTTTGTAAACTATTATGATTGTATTTTATACTTCTATAATCACAAAAGTCCGCCAAGGCTACACTATAAAAAATATTAATAAAGACAAACAATATTTAATCTATTCTCAATTTGACCACAACGTCAAGAACAAACGTTTGACAATAAATAGTATGCATGCATGTGTGCGTCAAATACATGGTATGTAGTGTGTGTAATGTTTTCTTAATTGATTTAATGTATCTTTTACGCATTATTTTATAAAAATATTAGCATTTTGCACTTCTTCTCTATATTCTCTATAAGTGTGGAAAATTTCATACTCCTCCGTCCGCGCAATTTTCGTAAAAAGGGATACAAAGTTTTTGCTTCACGTATTAATATATAGATTTTAATACGTTCACTGTGTGTCATTGGACACGGTTTTTTTTTTAGCAAGTGCGTTAAATGGTTATAATGACCCGAAAGCAACTTTACTTCGGTAGATCGTAATATCAAACACAAAAGACTATTAGCTTAAAATGACTACTATTCTGTAAGGGCTTTGTATTATTAACATTACATACTTCAACGCACAGAATAGATATCGGGCTAGGCCAATATTTGGCGTACAATACACACACACATAAATTACTTTTAAGTATAAATCGTGTCTATCAATTTATTTACAGTAATAACTGATCCAGTTGATAATTTGAAAATAGCAAATGGAACATTTCTGAAACACTTTGCTTATCGATTTACCAGCCACTGGTTAGGGGATGGTCTCATTACTTCTTCAGGTAAGTTCGGTCGGTTTTTATTACTTTCAAAGACGAGCGTGTGGCCTGCCTGATGGTGAGCGATTATCGTCACCACATCAGCTATGCCATGGCTACGACACCGCTGGGAACCACTCAGGAAACTGATCAAACCTCTTTTGGTTGTATGGTGGCCTAGAATATGACCACCCCATCTCTTTCCCCAGCACCCTATTGAAAAGTACCGCAATGTTAAATTAATGATTATATCATACAAGAATAAACAATGCTATTTTGCTTAATATAATATGCCGTACCCGCTCTTTCTTATCATATCATTCAACTTATTCTCAAATCATTGATATAAAAACATGTTTACGTGACTTCGTTATGACCTTTATTCAAACATTTAAACTATTTCGCTACGATAACTTGTTTACATTTCTTAATTAACTCTTTCTGTAATAACTTAAATCCATCACTATGTTATTATATACTATGACTAGCTGTACCCGTCCGCTTCGCTGGGCATTTAAAATTACCATTATTATATCTGACCCCCATAAAGATTCTCATCATTAACACCCCCGCAACTGGTGTAGGGAGTCCAACACTCATATAAATATTAAGCCTATCCATTAAGTACATGTATTTTCTACATGGATACCAAATTTCAAGTCATTTGGATGCATGGTTCAGTAGTTATAACGGAACATCCGTAAAAACCACTGTAGATTTATATACCTAGTCTTGCCATAAATACTGAGACAAAGGAAAAAAAAATCTATTGCAAATAACATTTATTAGTTTTACAGTGTGTTAGTTTAATGAGACATGGACTATAAAGAAAGCTGACCGCAAACGGATTGATGCCTTCGAAATGTGGTGCTGGAGGAGGATGTTGAGTATTCCCTGGACCGCACGCCGCACCAATTTATCCATCCTAGCTCAGTTGAAGATCCGGACTAGACTCTCCACCATTTGCATGCGAAGAATTCTTGAATACTTTGGCCACATCGCAAGGAAAGACAGTGACAACTTAGAGAAATTGATGGTCACTGGAAAGGTCGAGGGCAAGCGACTAAGAGGCAGGAACCCGACCCGTTGGACGGACCAGATTCGTGCAGCCCTGGACACCACAGTGCACGATGCTCTGCACTCAGCTGCAGATAGGAACAGATGGCGGTGCACTATAAAAAACAACCTGTTTCAAGGCCATGACCACGACCCTCAGTAATGAGGAAACCGACGCAAGGAGGAGAGTTTAATACATAAATTTAAAGTATAAAAAGCTTATTCAAAGTGGTCTCCATTGCCTGCAATACAGTCCTTTAAACGTTGAGGCCAGTTATCAACATAAGCACGCGCTCTTTCCATGGGAAAAATTTTCAGTGCCAATCGTACGGATTGTTTTAGGGACTCCAAATTATCATGGCGCTTAGAGCAAGCCGTACTCTCTAAAACTGACCATAAATCATAATCCAGCGGATTAAGATCGGGACTAGACGACGGCCAGTCTTCAACTCTGATGAAGTCCGAAACGTTCGTTTCCAACCAAGACTGCGTAGACCGAGCTTTATGACCTGGCGCCGAGTCTTGCTGGAAGGACCATTCTTGATTATTGAACATGGTGTTGTTAAGGGGCTTCACTACCTTCTCAAGAATGGTATCTTGATGCACTTGTGCCGATGTTTTGATACCTTTTTCATGGTATGGCTCAGTCACTCTTTCATAGCTAATACCCCACCAAACCATCACTGAAGTCGGATAGTGCCCCCGTTGCACTCTGTCGACTAATTGGGAAGCTTCCTTAGAGCTTTGAGCATAAATACGGTAATTTTGTTTGTTAAAATGTTAATCAATTGTAAAAAAATTCTCATCCATAAACAAAATTTTTCTATGATCTCCCTTTGCGTACCGCTTCAGTAGTTGTTTCGATTTTACCATCCTATTCTCTTTTAAATTATCAGTTAAGAAATAACCCGTACGTCTCTTAAAGGCTGCAAGTACTAAGTCATCTTTTAAAATACGCGACATGGTTCTAGGTGCTATCTTCATCTCCCGAAATAAAATCTTTTGCTTTCGGACAGGAATTCTACGAATTCTTTCCCTTACCCCACCTTTTTCGTACGAACACTACATGGACGGCCAAATCTTTTTCTGTCACAAACAGAGGAGGTCTCATTGCACCTATTAATAGCTCGGTACACAAACATTTTACTAATACCAAGCTTATGGAGAGTTTTAAAATTGCATTTGGCATTCGGTTCTCTTTATCACCCCACTCCATTTTAATATCGCAAAATATTGTACAATGTATTGGCGCCAAAATGAGAAAACTCAATGAGCAATCATATAAAAATGACAGATTCCAAATTCAAATGTAATATTTTGTTTATTTTCAGTTGTAACAGTATTTATGGCCAGACTAAGTATTAGTAATAGATATTGAAGTTGATATTACAGCACTGAATGTGGTTTCTTCATATTCCAATGTCCCAATTTCAGGTGAAACTTGGAAGCGTCACCGTAAGCTGCTTAATCCGGCGTTCAACCAACAAATACTAAACAGCTTCATCGGTGTATTCAATGATGAATCAAGGAAACTGGTTTCTGAAATCGGAAATGAAATGGCCAAAGGCCCCGTGGAGGTTACGACACCCTTCAGACAAATGGCTTTCAGATTATTATTCTGTGAGTGCTTAAAGCTTAAAGCTTGAATTGAGTGGAAAAGCATTCTTAAACGCCACTGTCACAACATACGAATTCGAAACACCAAATCATTAATTAGTTCGATAGAAATTCTATAAAATAAATGTAGAATTGGAATCGTGGCGCATAAAATAAGACTATTTCATTGTTGCACTTTCATTGTTCTCTTCTCAAATCTTCTCTATTATAATAATTAATAATTATCTGGCACCTTTTTTGCGATTTGCATATTCAATCGTCCTCGCCATCTTGCTTTTCTCTGTCATATTTTTTTCCTTTTCTTACCGTTTTCTTTCACTCACATCTTAACGCTCCGTGCCACTCCCTTTCCATACTTTTCATTCTTATCAATCCTACATAAATGTAATTAATTCACTGCCTTTTCTTTATCTAGTAACGGCGTTTGGTATACCAGTGGAGGACAGCGATTTCAATCAGAAATACATCCACTCGGTCGACAAATTATTGTCAATGTTGATATATCGGTTCCAGAATGTTTTATTACACAATTCGTTCATTTACAAAATTAGCGGCTTAAAGAAAAAAGAAGAACAAATTGTTGAGACAGTACATGCAATGTCGAACATGGTAAGCATAATGGATACCTTTTTTCTCATGAAATACGTACTTAACAAATATTCACGATTGAATTCCATAGTGAAGGAATAACATCGTGTAGTAAAAATCAAACCCGCAAAATTATAATTTGCGTAATTACTGGTGGTAGGACCTCTTGTGAGACCGCACGGGCAGGGACTACCGCCCCGCCTATTTCTGCCGTGAAACAGTAATGCGTTTCGGTTTCAAGGGTGGGGCAGCCGATGTAACTATACTGAGACCTTAGAATTTATATCTCAAGGTGTATGGCGCATTTACGTTGTAGATGTCTAAGGGCTCCAGTAACCATTTGAGCTCCCAATACATATATTCGCGGCTAAAGATTACTTTATTTGCGGATCTAATCGGTACATAGATACACATTGATAAAATGGATTCCAATAATTATGTAGGCATTTTTTTATAGCTTATATGGGTGGACGAGCTCACAGCCCACCTGATGTTGAGTGGTTACTGGAGCCCATAGACATCTACAACGTACATGCGCCACCCACCCACCAGTATCCAACCGAATGTCCTTTGCAAAGGCGCTTTCCCATATTCGCATATAAAAAGAACTTTTATTGTATTTTGCTGATGATTAATTTAATTTCAGATTATAAAGCGTAAAAGGGAAGCTTCTAAGAACAAATCACCGACTGACGAACATTGTTACGACACCAGTACGTATAAGGAAACTACCTTCTTTACAATTCTTATTATTCTTAAATGATTTTATGAATACATATTTTTATTGCGATTAGTGTACTTGTGTGATTAGTTCAATTTCCACCTGGTTTTAGAGGGTCACCGGAGCCGTTAAGTGAAAGCGGCCCGTGAGGCATGAGGACTAAACCTCAATTATGTAGTATTACGACTGTCCTATGCAGAAATAGGCATTGTGCTGACACCATCGTCCCGTCACCTCCGTATATCATTCCGAATATCCTTCATACAACAGCTTAGGTTGTGATGAGCTCTGATCAATGATACACGCGTTCCCCTCTACAAGGTATCCTACATTACTGGTAGTAGGACCTCTTGTGAGTCCACACGGCTAGGTACCACCGCCCTGCCTGTTTCTGCCGTGAAGTAGTAATGCATTTCGGTTTGAAGAGTGAGGCAGTCGTTGTAACTATACTGAGACGTCAGAACTTATATCTCAAGGTGGGCGTTGCATTTTACGTTGTAGATGTCTATGGGCTCCAGTAACCCCTTAACACCAGGTAGGCTGTTAGCTCGTCCACCCATCTAAGCAATAATCTATATATATATAACGAACAGCAAGTCATTTTATATATATATATATATAAAATATGTAAAATGAATTGCTGTTCATTAGTCTCGCTAAAACTCCAGAATGGCTGGACCGATTTGGCTAAACTTGGTCTTGAATTATTTGTGGAAGTCCAGAGAAAGTTTATAGGTAAAGAAAGTTTATAATTAAAGGTGAATAAATATGAAAATGCTCGGAATTAAATAAAAATAACAATTTTGTTTTTCCTTTGATGTGTCCCCCTGTCGGACGGATTCCTTTTGTTTGTTTTAAGTTTATTTTATAGAAAAGTTTAGGTTTTTTTATTTATTTATTGAGGAACTAGGAAGTTTGCTGGGTCAGCTAGTAAAATAATAAAAACAAGGCTATCCATATATTGCAGCACACAGATATAAATCAATACTCGATCTGCTTCTGAAAGGATTGGACGGAGATGCTCTGACCGACAAAGAGATCAGAGATGAGGTCGACACCATCATAGTCGCCGGATACGATACATCGTCATGGGTCTTGACGTTGGTCATGATGGCACTGGGCTCTTACCCCGAAATCCAGAATAAAGTTTACCAGGAGTAAGTTTTGAGGCTTCTGCGAATGTTGATAGTTTCATAGAATCGACAGGTATTTCAATCATGAGATGCTGACCAGGATTCAATACTAGGACCAGTGATTCTGTACCACTGCGATGTGACACATTTGTGTGCCGCGAAATTTAAGAAACGTACTATAGTACAAAATTATAAAGCTTTTTTATTACGAGCATAGTATAAATTATAATACTTTATTAAAATTAATGTAGGATTAGTAAGAACGGAACGTATGAAAAGTGTGTGGAACGGATCGTTAATATGTGAGTGAGAGAAAACGGAAAGAAAGGGAAAAGAGAATGACAGAGAAAAGGAAAATGGCGAAGACGATTAATGAGCAAGACGTAATAAAAAGTGTTAATTAATTTTTAAATTATTATTATTATAGCAGTAGATTTTGGAACAGTCTAAGTTTTATTTTATGCGCTGCGATCCCTATTCTACATTAATTATTATTATAAAAAAAAAAAAGGTTTAATATCACTGCTTTGACACTCAAATTGTTTTCGAGTATAATCTTTCTCGTCTTGCTTCATTTAATATTGTTTATCACACAGGTCAATTAATTTTATTACAAAAACCTGCTTGCATATGAATATGTATATTATTCATGTCTGTACAGACAATATACAGACGTATGCACTGACGCGTTTTTTTTATTATTAAAAACAGAGTAAGCTCCATTTTCGGAGACTCAGAGGCAGACGTCGATAAATCACACTACCCAGGGTTGGTTTACGTCGAAGCTGTCCTAAAGGAGACCTTGAGACTATATCCGATCGTACCAATTGCTTTGAGACAAACTGAAAGCGACATTGAACTGAGTAAGCAAAATTAATCTAATATATAAAATTCTCGTGTCACGGGGTGGGTGATTGAACTCCTCCGAAACGGCTCGAGCGATTTTTATGAAATTTTATATGCATGTAGGTCTGAGAATTTACTACTATCTATTTTTCATACCCCTAAGTGATAAGGGTGGTCCACCCTTAACATTTATTTTTATTTTTGGACATATTTTTTTTGTTATAATGAGGCATTACTTTGGTATATGGTTGAATGAGGTTTTGTTATTTTTATACTCCTTAATCGTTCACAGCGCTACATGCCTCTTTCACTCATTTACCACATCCTTACACACTTACAATAAGTTAGTTTTTTTCTACACTAGAAATTCCCTAGAAATCTCATATATGGCAAAACAACGTTTGCCGGGTCAGCTAGTATATGTATATTTTAACTCTTAGCGATGATTTGTGATTGCTTTATTTAATGATAATCTCATTTAACTGTCTATTATGTAGTCCAAGAGCCTGCGATGAATTTTCGGAATGTATTTCATGCTGTCGGAAAATATTAAAAAAAAGCTGTATATTATCGATGTTAACGAATTCGGAATAGCAGGAGATCCAAAATCCACAATGATTTTTTCATATAGCATGACGTACATTTCTACTCTTCTTTTTCTCCACCTTATCCCACTAGGTGGGGTCGGCACAGCTAATTTTTCTCTTCCATTCTCATCTATCAGCCGTCATCGCAACACTCACTCCTCTCTCTCTCTCTCTCTCATATCGTAATTCATAGACTCCATCCATGTCTTTTTCGGTCGACCTCTTCCCCCTCTACCTTAATCTACCATTTCCTTACATCTCCTAGTCACATGCATCTTCTCTCTACGCATCACATGTCCATACCACGCTAACCGTGGACTCTTTAATTTATAGATCCCCGGGGCTACTTTCACACTACCTCCGATATACTCATTCTTTATCTTTATGACGTACCTATATGACGTACAATTTACGTTTATTACATTACCAAAACATCCAAAATTCGTCTCTTGCTCTTTGACTAGTAATGTAGCTTTTACTATTAAGAGGAAGTATTGTAAACCGGCGTGGGTAGGTAACAATATTCCCTCTGTATATACCGTGAAGCCGGCGTACGTTTTAATTTGAAATTCGAGACACAATTATTGTTTTTAATGGATTTTATGACCTGGTAACTAAGACCTTTACGTCATGTCTCTTTTTAATTTTTATGAAAAATGATAGTAGGGAGTGAAATTATGTGAAATGAAGATGATTAATTTGAGACATTAATCAACTAGGATGAAATGAGATGAGATGATATGTGATGAAATATTATTATAATCTCAATAAAATGGCGGTCATTTACTGAGATTTTTTTCAGTGGACCTTTTGGGTAATCAGGAGGTTAACAAACCACCATCATTACACATTAAAACCCGAAGAAACACTAAATAGACAAAATAAAATAAATCACTCAACTTCCTCTTCGCGTTCCCACCAAAAAGTCCGAGACACAATAAAATACTGTTTCACAACAAAATAAAGAAATGTGTAGAGTAGACTTCACATTACGTACGGTCATGAGTCATCGTTGCGGTCTACAATAACCAATAGAAACGAGTCAATGACCTCATGTCTGATGGCGAGTGGGGAAATTCGCAGCGATGTCTATGGACCACAGTAACCAATGCGCATGAACGGCCTCCAAATCTACAGATAAATTAATAGTTTTATAAGAACTGTAAATTGAAAAATACCTCCACATTTGATTATCATCATCAACATAATTAGTGGTGTTACAGCCGCAGCTGGGCCAGTAGATCTCTCCAGCTCGATCCATTCGCGACTATACCTTTTCCATCTTATCACTTCTAAGTTCTTGGTGATTTTTTCGATGCCGTCAAACCATCTGCCTCCAGAAGGCGTTTGTGTACCGACCTTACACCCGCACCACGTGACCTTCCCGTCTGGTCTTTGTGGTCGTAATGACGCATAGGTCATCGTATAAAACGGTACAGCCCGTGGTGACAACGCGTTCGCCATCTCACATTCATCTCAGCCTCAAAGATGCGCTTAAGTACTTGTGATAAACAGACAAGGAATTGTCTTCCTTCTTGCTCAATAACTAACATTCAGAACCGTAGGAGAGTGTGGGCCTTGGTAAGGTTTTGTACAAAATTGTCAATGACCCGTGATATATTTTCTTCAGAGAACTACACGATACCGGCCGACAGTAACTGTGTGCTGGGTATCTATGGTCTGAACCGTCACCCAGTGTGGGGCCCTGACGCGCACACGTTCCGACCAGAGCGCTGGTTGGAGCCCGGAGGTGTGCCCGACGACCCTAATGCATTCGCAGGATTCAGCGTCGGGAAACGGACATGTATCGGTAAATATAACAGAATGAAATATCACATAGCTAAAATGAGTAAAACTTAAATTAAGAAAGCAAATAAAACAGTGATCGTATTATTTACAACAATGTCTTTCAGGCACATTCGTCAAGAGGGGAATATGTTTTTAGCGTCATGACAATTGCTATGAAATCGTCATTCCGTCAGTTAGTTTAACTTGTATGAACAAATTCCACATATACGTAGCCGCCGAACTCCGAATACGTGAAAGAATTATAAAGTAGACTAAATAAAAACATAAAATCACAATGAATTTCGCAGACAGCCTTCATCTATAAATAATTATGTAAAAATAGACATTTTAAAAACATTAAATGCAAATGCAACATGGCAGTTACTTCGTCATTATTTCTCAAAAATTGGCTTGAAAATTGGCAAAAATTTCGAACCTGTCTGATGACAGTGACGTATTCAACTATAATATATTGTATGTTTTAATGTCACTTAAGTTTTAAAATGTGAATTGAATTTTAAAATTCAAAGTTACCTTGTCATTTTAAAACGAGATTCAGATTGTTTATAAAAAATAACTAAGCACTTTATAATTAGTAGTAGAATTATAACTGTTGAACACAAAATGAATGATCGATGCTACTTACAAAATTATATCATAAAAACTATAAAACTCTGAATATTTCTTTCACAAGACTGCCACGGTTTCCAATTTCTCGTGTGAACAGCAATTGTAATATTTACAACACAATATAATACAACAGAGACTTCCGCGTGTATCTTTTACCTATCTGACAGTAGTAACCTCAAGGCGTTACTCTGGCTTCACCTCGACCGGTTGTTGAGCTCACGGGACTCGGCATGATTTATATTTTAATACTAGCCCTGGCAAGGGCAGTGCTTCGCTGAATCTACCACCGGATCGGAATCGTGACCCACTGAGAAGATCAGGGGAGAGACTCACAGGGTTGTGACTGTGGGTGAAGTTACATGTCGAACTCTTCGTCGAGTTCGATTTCTTTGACTTCTATATGGGTAACGGAGAGTAACGCGTCTGAGGGTGCAAGGGAGCTTAACTCCATGATGTCCGGCATCCGCTGGTTGAGTGCTGGCGATGCTCTAGCACTGTAATGGACAAAAAACTCAGCCTTTTCATCTTCATCTCTTGTCTCCAAGTGGATAGTGACATCCAAGCTGCGATGTCTATGGAATTTTGGTTTGTTATTTGTTCTCCGTATTCGTGGGAAATTTTCACTCGGAATTCCGAATATACAAAAAGTCAAACACACTATTTCAATAATATGTATTTATAATGTTCAGATGTATGTGTACAATATTAAAATATAAACAAAAAGGAGTAAACGACGCTAGGCACTAGATCAGGGGTGACCAACCGGTAGATCGCGATCGACCGGTCGCTCGTGGCTATTAGTTCAGTCGATCGTGGCAAGACAAAAAATATAAATACTAATACATAGAACAGACTGCGCAACGTAATCACCAATTGCTGCACGCATCATCTTCATCTTCTATCATTTATTAATGACCATTTCGTAACATTATTTATCCTCTCTTCATCACAATAGTTCTCTTTTACTATATAATTTCAGGGTTTTTTTTAACAATAGAAAATATACTACTTATTTGTATTGTACGGAACTACATTGATAGATCGTAGAGACCTTCGTCAGTAGACAGTAGATTTTGGTACTAATCAAGTTGGCCACTCCTGCACTAGACGATATAAATTAAACTTGAAGTCGTCGTGGCCTAAAGGATAAGACGTCCGGTGCATTCGTTGTTGCGATGCACCGGTGTTCGAATCCCGCAGGTGAGTACCAATTTTTCGAATGAAATACGTACTTAACAAATGTTCACGATTGACTTCCACGGTGAAGGAATAACATCGTGTAATAAAAATCAAACCCGCAAAATTATAATTTGCGTAATCACTGGTGGTAGGACCTCTTGTGAGTCCGCACGGGTAGGTACCACCGCCCTGCCTATTTCTGCCGTGAAGCAGTAATGCGTTTCGGTTTGAAGGNCATCGTGTAATAAAAATCAAACCCGCAAAATTATAATTTGCGTAATCACTGGTGGTAGGACCTCTTGTGAGTCCGCACGGGTAGGTACCACCGCCCTGCCTATTTCTGCCGTGAAGCAGTAATGCGTTTCGGTTTGAAGGGTGGGGTAGCCGTTGTAACTATACTGAGACCTTAGAACTTATATCTCAAGGTGGGTGGCACATTTACGTTGTAGATGTCTATGGGCTCCAGTAACCACTTAACACCAGGTGGGCTGTGAGCTCGTCCACCCATCTAAGCAATAAAAAAAAGAAAAGAAAAAAATCGTTTTTATATTGACCTTAAATTGGCGCGCGAATCATGTTGTGATGACGTCACGGGACGCCTGCGCGTTCGGGAATTCCGATCGCGCCCGATGACACCCGATTGCGACCCGATATGCTAGTGTTGCACGCTACAGACTAATAAGCAATGAGTATCAAATTACCCGACAACTAGTACACTAAAATCGTTCTTTTTCTATAATCTGTCTCGTTACAGGTAAAGTCTATGCTCTGATGTCTATGAAGACCACTCTAGTGCATTTAATACGACGATACAAGGTTACCGCAGATATCTCCAAGGTGGAATTCAAAATGGATGTGCTCATGACGCCGGTGAACAATTGCAACGTCAAATTTGAATTGAGGAAGTGAATACTTCTTGTACGAATGTAGAACTTGTAGCTACAGGAAGTGGATTACACTAAATTGCCATAATATGCCACGTTAACTGATCCCGTGTTAACTTCGTGAAGAACTTTTGTTACAGGTACCAGATAACGGAAATAAATGTAAGACTTTTATTATACACATACATATACCTAGTCAGGTCATAAATTCTGTCACATGTTTAATGTAAAATAATTGAAACAAGTTTATTCACTATGTAACCATTCATATACCAAAATGAACTTAACAAAACATAGATTCTTATGACACTAAAGTTTATTCAAAATGACCTCCGTGACTTTGAATACAGGCCTTCAATCTGCGCGGCCAGTCGTCTATCGCAGCACGAACGAGGTCCATGTCGGATTCAAATCTGGACTGGAGGAGGGCCAGTCTTCGTGCCGGATGAAGTCGATTTCACGCGCCGCCAGCCAGTCTTGTGTGCTCTTCGCTCTATGAGCTGGCGCCGAATCTTATTGGAATACCCAGTGCCTGTTATTGAACATGGTATGAGAAACAGGTTCCACAAGGTTCGTCAGGACTGTATTTTGATACACAACTGCATTCGTTTTTACACCTTTCTCACAAAAATGTACCTCTGTTAAGCCCCAATAAGAAACTCCCAACCATACCATGAGCGAGGATGGAAAATGACCTCGTTGGACACGCGGAATACGGTTGCTCGCTTCTTCACTACTGTGTGCGTACACCTTATCATTTTGTTTGTTGTAGCTCTCTTCTACGGTAAAAATTTTTTCATCCGAAAAAAGAATTTCCCGATATTTTTTTCCCGCGTACCGCTTCAACAAAGCGCGGCATCTCTTCAGTCTCAGGTCCATTAGACGAGCATTCAAACGATGTCCTGTTTTTCTTCGATATGCCCGAAGCCCTAAGTCTTCATTTAACACCCTTTTCACCGTGGTTCTGCTTAACCCCATCTGAAGGGCCAACAGTTTCTGCTTACGTTTGGGATTTCTTTGAATTCGCGCCTTCACAGCTTTTATCACTGCTGGAGTCCTAACAGACCGAGGGCGACCACTTCTTGACCTGTCATCTACACTAGAGTCTTCATTGTATCGTTTGATGGTACGATAAACGAATCTTTTGGTTATATTCAAATTTTTCAGTATGTTAATATTTGAATTGGCGCGTAACCGCAACGATGCAACGCAATAACTGCAACACTGTCTTCTTTAAGCGTCCACTCCATATTTAAAAATGAGTAAAATTCTAAAAGTATACATTTTTATTTTCATGAACAATTCGAAATTCGAATTCAATAAACTTTTTTGTGGCCAGCATTCTAAAAGAAAAGTTTTTACTGTGTGACAATACTTATGACCTGACTAGGTATATATAATATACATCCATAATCCTGGAAAAGACATTTTATATTTATCATACGAATATCTTCCGCTGGCGGGATTCGAACCCGCGACCCCCTTGTGTAGTGACCATTTCACTTACCACTACACCAGACGGCGGTTAAATATAATAATATATGTAATTAAATATATTAAATATAATAGCATCTAAGTTAGATGCATTATATGCAAATTAAATTATTTGCATATTATTAACATAAACATTTCAACGCTGAGATTAAGATTTTCAAATATCAGAACGTAAATATACTATTCGTTTTTCTGTATTTTCATATAAATGTATGTATTGATTATATTTTATATTAAATCTCACTTTGTTTTATTTTAAATGGTTATAAACTAATATCTCCTATGTACAAACAGTAATCAAGGACGCTACGTAAGAATAAATAATAATCTTGATCCAATGAAGGTTTACTTTTATACCGGTCACTCACATTCGCATGAATACGCAAACCCGCAAGTGTAGGACGACATTTGCAAATGATTATGCAAAGTTTTCGCTGCATTCGTGGTTTTCCAAGCTGTGTCGGTTTTTTTTACACACATCAAAGCGCGGGAACCCGATCCTTCGCGTAGTCTCCCACACATTCGTGTGACCAGTTGCGCCCAGGATTGCGAAGGCAACGGACGTTTCGCTATTTTCATAGATCGTGACGTCTACTGTGTAGCGTATCTTCATCAAAAGAAATTCCATAAAAACCCCATGGCTGTGAATGATGTCTGGGAAAGAATTCAAAACTCTTTTTCTCTTCAATGTTCTATTGACGAATTTAAAAGGAGGAGAAATTCGTGAAACATTCGTAAATAAGTGTAGGAGGAAGCGCAAACGGGTTCGCAAATAGAATACCGAACCCATTTGCATAGCCGCTAAGTTTGCGAATGAATGTCTGACGGCCCTTCACAGGCGCGCAAACATTCGTACAATGTACAAATGTTCGCGCGCATGTCAGTGGCCGGCATTAGACGAGTTTAAAAAGGTCGAGATTTTCAATTCGATTGTATTTTTTTAATTTTTCGTCATGTCAGAACTGTATGTAAAACGATTTGGAAAATTAATTTTGAAATGAAACTTCTTGAAGTGAAACTTCTTTATTGACGTAGGGAGGAAAAAACGTACCTATGTAATGTTTTTCGGTTACGATTATGTTTACTTCTACCGTGTGTGACTTGCACACACACATTTTTTTCTAAAGATATGCTTTCAAATCCCATAAGAAATTCGTAAATAAAAGTTCATAAAACAATTGAAAAAATGTCGTTTATGTATGCGCGGGTATTTTTCTGAATTCACTAACAATTTAATTGAAGTATTTTACAATTTAAATCGGTTTTGTACTTTTTCAATTATTACTAGTTCTATTTTATAGCAAGCTATATATTATATAATAGCTATCTATTACACGTATTTTTCGTATATTATTTATCTCTTAGCCTCGACCTCTAGAGCAATTGATTAAAGAAATAGGTATTATCGGAAATGGACAAACATCATACGTTAAAAACATTTAATTACAAAAAAGAACGAATATTCAGATTCAAAGTTTACAAGCACGAATCGAATTGCTTTCAAACTTCGCTGCAAGCTCCAAGAATTCCGTAGCATTAACGGAAAAATACACATTGATACCGTGTTCCTGGAAAGGCAAGGTCGAAATTTCGACGATTGCATTTTGCAGACAGATGAAGAACCCACGTCCCGCCTGGCGGTAAATGGTTATCGGAGCACGATGCGAATGCGTCACGTCTTGGATAGCGGATTGGCTATCCCCGGCGTTGCTGACTTCATTGAACTACCGTAACCACTCACCGTCAGATGAGCCGTATTCTGGTCCGATTACAAAGGCAATGAGAAAACCACCTAAATCCATGAGGTCTGTCTCAATCGTTAAGTACAACAGCTATTCCACCCTTCGAACCGGAAAGCAGATTGCTTCGCGGTGAAAAATACTGGTGGTGATTACGCAAACTTCAAAACAGTACGCGACCGGGCCGCGTTCTTACTCGGTCGACTCTACCCCCCAAGATCTATTAGCAAAGTAAATTGTCCCTTCGTAACACGGTAACACACTACAAAACTTACATACGTTCCGCCATGACTTATGCAAAGCTGCCGACGCCCGAAATGTCTTGTCGGATCCCCCGGGTCCAATCTCGATGCTTTTAAGCTCTTCAAGCATATGTAAGTCACCGTCCTCGTTGAACTCCGGATACTACCGGATCGGAATCGCGACCCGCTGAGAAGATCCGGCGAGAAACTCAGCGGGCTAATGTATGGGTTAGGTCGCACATCGAATTCTGCCGAGTTCGACGAGTACGGTTACCGGGGTCCCTAAGCCTACCCCTAGTGTTAGAGCTGCAGGCGTCTAGTGCTGAGGTTCATGGATTCATAAGGACGTGTCTAGGGCGTTGACGGTGACTAGCTAGGAATCTGGAAGTAGCGTAAATGTGTTTTACTTTGTCCCTCGTACTCCCGATACTTTATCAGGACTATCCAGCAAACGTATACTCAGACTAATCTAAATTGTAAGGGACGGGGCACTTATCGTATTTTAATTGTTTTTTATTGCTTAGATGTGTAGACGAGCTCACAGCTCACCTGGTGTTAAGTGGTTACTGGAGCCCATGGACATCTACAACGCAAATACGCCACTTACCTTGAGATATAAGTTTTAAGGTTGATCCACCCTTCAAGCCGAAACGCATTACTGCTTCACGGCAGAAATAGGCGGGGCGGTGGTACCTATCCGTGCGGACTCACAAGAGGTCCTACCACTAGTAATTACGCAAATTATAATTTTGCGGGTTTCATTACACGATGTTATTCCTTCACCGTGGAAGTCGATCATGAACATTCGGTAAGTAAGTATTTCATTACAAAAATTGGTACCCGCCTGCGGGATTCGAACACCGGTGCATCGCTCGACACGAATGCACCGGACTTCTTATCCTTTAGGCCACGACGACTTCTCAACAGTAAGTTCCCTTATTTTGCGTCTTAGGATATCTTAGGTGCATTAAAACATCGAAATATTGTCCAACTGTTTTTATTCACTATATTTCGTTTTGCATTTTTTTTTTCTCTCCTCTTAAAACTGTTTTTATTTTCATTGATTTTACACTCTTCAACGAGCGGTGAACGGCCTCGCCGCTACACAAATTCCTATATTAAATTCTAAAACACTTAATTTAAAAAAAAAAAAAAAAAAGAGCTTCCACTCATTCTATTATACATTTTAAACACATAAATATAACAAATATAGTTAATTAATAATGTACACAAACAGTAACATAATATAATTTTGAATTCAAATGAGCTCTCCACTCCTTCATAACGTTCCGTGACTGCTGGCGGGTTGAAATTAAAATTTGACGGGAATTAAAAAAAAAAAGTTTTAAAAGAATTTAATTTCTCAAGTTTGAGCGTCATAGAGTACGTTACACAGAAAGTGCATTGGTTAAAGTTTAAACGTTCAATATTTCGTCGCAATCACAAAACGCTACACCACACACAAGTCTCTCATCACAATATACATAGCACCGCCAACATATTTTTCATCCTCTAGGATGTAATTGAGTTATCTCAACACAAAGCCCCGATCATTTATACCTCTTCAATAAACACAAAGCCGTATGTTGTAAAGAAATGCACGACTTCAAATTTTGTTGTAGGCCAAATATTAATCAAGCGCATCTTTTAACATTATTGAGATAATTTTATAAAATAAGTCTATATAATTGTTCGCCGGCATAACACATTCGAGTGACCCACACATCAATGAAGCTCAAACATATTTACATATAGATAGATACACGAATCATATTGATTATAATTTTATGATTTATATTAAAACAATCGATTTTGACAATTCCGTATCACTATTGTACTCAATAACTTTACATTTTCGTGCTGTCAACTAGCGATGTACACGTGCGCTGTCGACTAGTGGTACATAGGTGATGCCGACTAGTGGTGCACACGTGCTGCCGACTAGTGGTAGACACGTGTTGCCGACTAGCGGTAGACACGTGCGGCCGACTAGCGATGCTGACGTGCGACCAACTAGCAATGTACACGTGCTGTAACTTTAAATGAGCTCTGGGATTTGAAAGTTTTCGCAACGAAAAACTTCTTATTACATTCATCACGAAAATAATATTTTCCTTGTGACTAGTATCAACGATTATTTTATAAACATATAAAAAAAAATATAGCGTCTGTATATTCGTCTGCGTCTATTTTTAGATTTATGTGCGCGAATTATTACAAAAATAAAATATATTATTCTAAGCTAATCTCACTAGAGTCGAAACAGCATCTCACTGTGTACGCCGCCCAGTGAGCTTCAAAAACCAAAACAAAAATTGACCACCACCGAAATAAAACACAATTGACACTTGCAAAATATGACGGTAAGGAATTACACTCACGAACAATACCGACTTGCCTTCTCAGAGTACGATTGGGATTAGGCAATAAACCGTTCACTGTGATGTTACTAAAGCTTTGCAAAAAAAAAAAAAACTGATACTTTACTTCGTGTAAAACCCGTTTCGATAATTGTATGCCCTAGCATTTACTTACAATATTATTATGACATTAAAATTTAGATAAAAAAAAAAACAAATTTGTTGCCTATAGGTGATTTACAAGATATTTGATGAAATTTGGATTTTATTTTAGTTGCCAAAAAAAAATATTTTGCTCCTAATGATACTACTGTACGATGTGGTACGTCATCATTTCTTCACATTGTTTAACATGAGAAATAGTAACAAAGCAATATAAGGGGTATTTTATACGAGATATATTAGGACTGTTTTCAATAACGAAAATAGGCGGTAGATTAAAAAAATGTTGCTTGCATTGCACGCAATGTAATCTACACATAAATAGGCAGAGACAAAACACTTCAGCGCCTTCTCCTCTATCAAGCCATTGTTATTTCCTGACCAGAGACAGACTATAGTTTTCAATTAAAACAAAAATTGGAAACTTTTTTTTTCTACCTTCACAGACAAAAGTGTAAACAACCTAACAAGAGCAAACGTTATGCAATAGAATGAATCTAAATCTTAAGGTATTGTTGTAAGATCGAATTTTGACTAAACGAGCGAAAACTAGTCCAAATAGATATTAATGCTACGGTCTCACAGGAGCGCAAGAAAGCTGCCTTTCTATTACATTGCGGGTTCGTTTTGTAAAACTACAAACATTAAAACGGCCTAATGAATATTTTTATTATTAAAATAGGACTTCAGTGGCTTTGAAAAAGGGATTCCGTTACACGCTGCGCAAATCTTAACAGCACGGCTTGAGTTTACCGAAACTAGCGGCCATTAGCGACGATCGACGTATGCTCCTCTGAGTCAGTTGCGCTGGCAACATTAGAGAATTGTAATAAATATAGGCACTAATATCCGCGAGAGTATACACAATGAATTTAGAGTAAATTAAATGAATGAAGGAAATGAAAATTAAAAGGTATATGTTATTTATAAATCTTATTCGAATATGTGGTAACAAAGACACGGGCGCATGTGATGGCTGTTTCGATCTATCTCGTCTCAAAGACAAAAACATTAATTTAACTCATTTTCATATTATTTATAGTGTGAACCACTTTAAGATGGGACACACGATTCGTATCAATAATTTTTATGTACACGTTTACCAGCGAGTAGGAAGATAATGTTAGCGTTTTGACATCGCCAGCGCGAAATCAATTCCAGACAACGGAACTTCTGTTTTAAGCTCATCTATACATTTGAACAGAACCCATTCATGACATACAAAAATAACTGAATCAAATGATTTGAAAATTAAAGCGACATCCACTTTGACATTCCCGTAATAGAAACCGATTGAGAAAATATTGAACAAAAACTATTTTTATACTGAAAAAAATTGAAGATAATTGTAGAGATGTATTTTTCAAAAATCAATCTAATAATAATCTCTTAATACGAAATATAACAGCGCTTTTAATAATTTCGATCGTAATTTATGTTTTCTTCTTATAATACTGAAATGTCTGCTGTTATGACCAATGCGGAATTATGGTGGAATTAAAAAAGAATTGAATTAACGCTTTAATACACGTTATGTGTGAGCACCAGAGTATTATTTAGAAGCTAGAAATTAAATTTAAAACCGATATGGAAATTGGCAATACTGAAGTGACAGCTGATGTTGTCAAATTCAAGAAATGTTGCAAGCTTCGTAATTTAGTTGCCAACTCTATATTTTATTTACAAATTTTATACGGCCTAATTTTTATATTGTTCACTTGATTAATTTACAATTATTTCATAATCTTATTCATTACTTTAAAAAAAATCATATAATCGTTTTTTTTTATTTTTATAAGAACTAAATTGGTATTTTGAATTGGTTCTAAATTTAAAGGAAAAAAAAATCGCTGGCAACTGAGAATATCATTTACATACATTTTCTATCACAAACATTTAATTTTCGCAGAGCCATTCGTGAATATGGACCATTCATATCAAGATAAACCATTACGTTTTGACATTTGAAAGGAGTCCCTTAGCTAATAAAATTATTATGTACTAAAGCGTTAAATGTGTACATACAATAATAAATCGGAATAAAAATAATCAAAAACAAATCACAGACATACAATTAAAAAAAAAAAAAAAACAAACAAATAAACAAACGCACAAGCCTCCTCGCGCGTTCCGGTATTTATTGTTAATGCTTTTCAATTTTATGTTTAGCCCGTGGTAATTCTCAACTTTTGTTAAAAATCTTTTTGCTAACGTCATTTAAATATTATTATTATTGTTTGGTATTGCGTTTTAATTTTAATATAAAATGGTTTTTGCCGTGAAAAACATCAACAAGAACACCTCATAATTCCATTCAAATTTAACATCATCACATCACTATACATATAAATTTAAACAACGCATTTACAGTCCCCACAGAATCAATGAAAAAGCAGAAATGTCAAAACACAAAAAAATTAAATACGTTAATTCTTTTTTTTTGTTTTTTTAAGACTTGATTTTTTTTAGCTTTGCCTTGTAACATCAACACACAGAGTTTTGAACCCCACACGTTTTTTTGTTAGTTCAAATTTACTCAACGTAGTTCAAATATGACTTTCTTATTAATTGTTCTAATTTAAAGAAACACGAGAATTATTCTGTTTTGGTTTGTTAACGTAAATATATATAATTGAACTGATTTATTTCAACATTAAATAGAATTCGAATCGAACCAATTAACATGAGACATCTCTGCGTTAGGATATAATTCTGTTAGGACGTCAGCATTGTACGATGTAAGGTTTACAAAACAATTCGTCGTCATCTTCGAGCAACATCAGCAAAGAAATTATATGAAAATTGTAAATAAGAACTTTTTATTAATATCTAATTTAAAAAAAAAACACTACTTTTGTAAAATTATTTTAAATATTTTAAAATCAACAAATTAAATTTTGACGTCAAGCTAAACACCAAACTTAGCTCGCGATATCAATTGTGGTCAATATTTTTGTGTTTTCGTATATAATCTATGGTGAGCTTTTTGTACGTTTTGGCCCCAAATGACGTCACACTAAATAAAAAAACTCGTTTTCCAAAATTTGCGCGTCATTTTTATAAAGACTTCACCGGTTTCTTATTACGTATCTTTAAGAACGACAATATTGTATGGTACAAGATGGAAACATATGCAGTGCTGATCTACGTAGACTGTCGTAAACACTTCTTTGACAGTATCCCGCGTCAGCGCCCGGTAGGGTTACCAACTTCTTTTTTTTTTAAATATAAATCTTTAATTCTAATTATAACAAATAATATTCTGTAGTACATAAAACTTTGCGTATTGCTAAATGTTTCGAAAATACAACTATTAGATTAGGGCGATGGTATATCGCAATTTTAGAATTGAAATGGTTTGATCTAAAAAAAAATGTTTTTTGCTAAACGTTAAAAATGTAATTGAAGAATTATAATCTTTACAGTTTCGATTTTAATACTTTGAATCTTGAGGCGGCGAGTTTAAAATATGCGCTTAGTTTTAAAGAGACGAAAAGTGAACGTTTTTCTTTTGTGGGCTAAAATATAAAAAAAAAATTGAATTTTAAATTTTTTACTTTATAAACTGATAGATAAGTCGTTCAAAGTATAAAATTAATTTTCTTAAAAAGAAATTTAATTTATCCACTTCAATTCTAAAGGTGTGATATTGTACTATTGAAAACCCGAGTGCGCGGTAGGTAGCAGCCCTAAGCACGTCATCACGGATCCTCTCTATCCATTAACGGTGCTTTTAGGTACCACAAGCATCGATCACCGTCCTCGTCGAGCCCGTCGCTTGCGACGAAGGACTCGACGAGGGAATTAACCCACAGACACAGCCCTGAGTTTCTCGCCGGATCTTCTCAGTGGGTTTACGATCCGGTGGTAGATTCTACGGAGCACTGCTCTTGCTAGGACCAGTGTTAGCAACACACCCGATTTGAGCCCCGCGAGCTCACATACACGTCAAGGAGAAGCTGAAATAGCTAAGGCTATCAGCATAGGTACCAAAAAAAAAGAAGATAGTTAGCAGTTAAACCACTTTTTCGATGTTGTACCGTGACGACGAATTGTATTTACGTGTTTGTTGTAAGGAGTCTTACGTCCTCGTGAGGGTGTTGGTGGCTGGCACCTCCGTGGAGGCGGCCGCCAGTCGCAGCGCGGCCGCGAGGGGCGGGGAGGGGGAGGAGGACAGGGAGGGGGGAGGCGGGCCCCCGGCTCCGCTGTTCGTGCTCTCGTCTTCTTTCGTCTGCAATATACCATTTAAATTAGACTTGTTAGATTATAATTAACATGACATTATTGTTTTATTCCAAATTACTTATGCGGCACGTGGATGGGAATAGAAGTATAGATCAGACCAACTTTTATTGGTGCCAATCAAAACAGTCGTACTTTCCAGTTTGAGGGTTGGGGCAGCCGTTATCACTACATAGTATAAAACAAAGTCGCTTCCTCTGTCCCTATATCTGTCTGTACCTATGTATCCTTTAATCTTTAAAACTACGCAACGGATTTTGATGAGATTTTTTTTAATAGATAGAGTGATTGAAGAGGAACGTTTATATGTATAATAACATCCATTAAATAGTGGAGAAATCAATAATAAATTACATTTTCCGAAGCGAAGCGGGGGCGGGTCGCTAGTAGAATATAATCCGACTTTTCAACATACGTTTGTGACGTGGGCAGAGATTCTTGCGTTTTTATGTCGACTCCGGTAACCACTTAACGCCAGCAAACCGTTAGCAAAAAGGTTACAAATAGATCGAATCACTAAGAGGTGCTGCTATACAGCTTGAGCGCACTTACATTGCCGAGCATGTGTTTGAAGGTTTCGTACGTGAGCCAGCAGATGGCGGCGGCCGGCATTTGGTACAGGACGCGAGCCTGGACGCCCTTGAAGAAGCCCAGGGGCCCGGTGGCTCGCATCACTTGAGAAGCCGCTTCTAGCAAGCCGTCCGCTCTCGCTGCCGATTCCTGTACGAAGAAAGCGAATCTATACTAATCTATATATTAAACGTGAAGCAAAAACTTTGTATCCCTTTTTACGAAAATTGCGTGGACGGAGGAATATGAAATTTTCCACACTTATAGAGAATATAGAGAAGAAGTGCACAATGCTAATATTTCTGTAAAATAATGCATAAAAGATACATTAAATCAATAAAGAAAACATTACACACACTACATATCATTTGACGCACACACGCATGCATACTATTTATTGTCAAGCTTTTGTTCTTGACGTCTGTTGTCAAACTGAGAATAGATTAAATATTGTTTGTCTTTGTTAATATTTTTTATAGTGTAGTCTTGGCGAAATTTGTGATTATAGAAGTATAAAATACAATCATAATAGGGTAAAAACTTGCAATTCCAATTAATTATAGTCGAATTTCGACTACTGCGGGACCTCTAGTATATATAAATCTGCAGTAATTTTTACGGATGTTCCGTTATAACTACTGAACCGTGCATCCGATTGACTTGAAACTTGGTATCCATGTAGAAAATACGTGTACTTAATGGATAGGTTAATATTTATTATGAGTGTTGGACTCCCTACACCAGTTGCGGGGGCGTTAATGATGAGAATCTTTGTGGGGGTGAGAAATAATAATGTTAATTTTAAATGCCCAGCGAAGCGGACGGGTACAGCTAGTATCTTATACGATCATCATTCTCCTGCCCTTCTCCCAGTCAGCTGGGGTCGGCGCAACATGTTTTCTCCTTCCCTACTCTTCTATCATAATATACCATTTCTTCGCTCACTCCCCTCTTACCCATATCGTCTTTCACACAATCCATCCATTTCTTCTTAGGTCTACCTCTTCCTCTATATCCTTCCACATTCACACTTAACACTCTCTTACGAACCTCATTTTCATCTCGTCTCATCACATGTCCATATCATCCCAAACGCGCACTTCTCAACTTCTCTGTCACGGGTGCCACTTTCATATTTCCTCTAACTTATTTAAGAGCAACATAATAACTTATACGATATTTATTAGTATTATTACTTATTAGTATTACTGGTGGTAGGACCTCTTGTGAGTCCGCACGGGTAGGTATCACCACCCTGCCTATTTCTGCCGTGAAGCAGTAATGCGTTTCGGTTTGAAGGGTGGGGCAGCCGTTGTTACTATACTGAGACTTTAGAACTCATATCTCAAGGTGGGTGGCGGCATTTACGTTGTAGATGGGCTCCAGTAACCACTTAACACCAGGTGGGCTGTGAGCACGTTCACCCATCTAAGCAATAAAAAAAAAATTGCTAGCACACTTAAAATGTAGCAACAAAGAAGTTTAACCTATCAAACACTGATTCTATCTTTACCAAATATTGTTACTATTGAATATTGTGTATTTTCATTGATAATACAAATTGCACAGTTGCGACACTTTTAACCCTTTGACCGCCATATAGGTCACCGATGCCCTACGTGATGCGCACTGAAGTAATTATGTCGATACTTCTGGAACTTCCCCGATAGTACTAGTTGTTTTGATATCCGTTTCCGCTATTCGATAACAGATGGTGTTACATCCAACATGTAGATACATCCGATAAAAGCGAAGCTCTCATAAGTTAGTAGCATTTTTTGCGTATACATAGATTGTATCTTCCACTTGATATTAAGCTATGGCTAATATATTACGCTTTGTAAATATAGATATGATATTTGTATTTATATTCGAAGTTTTGAACTATTTAACGAATCTTAATTTAAGTAAATTTAACATTATTAATTAGTGAGACAACTACCATCAGTCTCAATCGACAGTCTTGCACATATCGACTTCGAAGGCGTACAACACCCTGTACAAAATGTAGGTAAAGAAAGAATCTTTTTTTTTATGATTGAAAGATTACTGGTAGCCCGGAGGCCTTTCCACTTTCACCAGGACAAGTGGGCGAGCAACGGCTCAGGCAAGAGGGGTGTGATTTGCTAACAACCGCCCGATCGCCTCCGGAGAAGACCTAACAACTCAAGAGCAATTGCTTCGCGAATGAATCTACTACCGGATCGGAATCGTGAAAGAATCCACGACAGATTACGTTACAACAAGCAAAATCAACCTCAACTCACCTGTGTATTGAGCACAGTTTTGCATACATCAAGCGGAGTGGTCGCGGCCGCAGCGAGCGCGCCGGCGGCCGCCCCGCTGAGCGCGTGGGCGCGCGGGTCGTACTTGCGAGCCGGGTTCAGTACGCTTTGACACCATTCGTACGTGACAAAATGTAACGCCTAAAAGACAATGCAAACAATTTATATACACCATTAATCTTACTTTACTGGTGGTAGGACCTCATGTGAGTCCGCACGGGTAGGTACCACCACCCCGCCTATTTCTGCCGTGAAGCAGTAATGCGTTTCGGCTTGAAGGGTGGGGCAGCCGTTGTAACTATACTGAGACCTTAGAACTTATATCTCAAGATGGGTGGCGCATTTACGTTGTAAATGTCTATAGGCTCCAGTTACCACTTAACACCAGGTGGGCTGTGAGCTCGTCCACCCATCTAAGCAATAAAAAAAGGAATAGTGTTTGGTTTAGCTATTTAACTTACTTAATCAGTCAGGTGTTCACGAAGACGAATCATGATGTTGCCGCTGGTATTTATTTGTTTTTTTTTTCCCTGCCTAATTTAGTAGCCTCTAGGGGTCATTCCAGATTCGCCGAATTAGAGGGTGAGCTCACAGGACTCAAACCTGATGACGTTGCGAACATTAAACCCTAGCAAGAGCAGTGCTTCGCAGAATCTCCCACCGGATCGGAAACGCGGCCCACTGAGAAGATCCGGCGAGAAACTCAGTGGGCTGTGTCTGTGGGTTAAAAACTACTACTACTACGGCGCTGGCGCTATGACCCTAAAGTGAGTCTTGGCCTCCGACTCCAACAATAAACGCCGCTATTTATTCCGGCGCTGCGCAACACCTTGCAAATTCGACCAGCAGTAGTTTGGCCTCCCCTACGGGTTCGACGAGGACGATGACCGGTGCATACCTGAAAGCACCGTTAGTGCATCGGGAGGATCCGAAATGACGTGTTATGGTGCGGTAGTTAGCGCTCTTGACTATTGCACCGAGGGTCGTGGATTTGGTTTGATGAATATGTTTGCTTAGTCTTTTTTGAAGTACCCTCTCAAGGCTATCAGCATAGGTAGGGAAAAAAACTGCTCCATCGAGCCACTCAAATTGAAATTAAATTAATCTGTTACCAATTAATCTATTACCTGGAATGGTACGTTCATGGCTATCTGGGTTCCGTATGAGCGATAGAAGGCGCGCAATCCCTCCGCTCTGTAGACGTGCCGCGCGCACTCCCAAACACCCCTATACGGAGAGTTCAACATTTGCAACCTCTGCTTTACAACTGCAAAAAGAAAAACATAATGATGACATAATGAATGATACGAAACCACATTCTAGTTATTTGCTTTTAAACCAATACAAAACGTTTCTCTTTCATTGTATATTTATTGATGGAGATCTATCTTGCTGGCTAACTTCTTTTTTTATTGCCCTTGTAGGCAGACGAGTATACGGCCCACCTAATGGTACTCACCATTACCGTTGCCCATGGACTTCAGCAATGCCAGGGACAGAGCCAAGCCGCTGCCTAACGTTAAGTACTCTCCACAAGCCTCGTTTGAAGAAGGACATGTCATAGCGCTCGGGAAACACCGTGGAGGGGAGCTCATTCCATAGCCGGATGGTACGTGGCATAAAAGATCTCTGGAAACGCACTGTGGATGAACGCAGTGGCTCCAGGTAGTATGGATGAACTCTACTCCGGTGGCGGGCAGTGCGATGGTAAAAACGAGATGATGGTATCATTTCAAACAATTCCTCAGAGCACTCCCCATGGAACATACGGTACAAAGTACAGAGGGAACCGACGTCCCTCCAAAGACCCAGAGGTTCCAACCGATCCGTGAGAATGGGATTATCGACAATCCAAACGGCCCTCTTCTGTATGGAGTCAAATGGAAGAAGCTGGTATTTGGGAGCTCCGGCCCAAAAATGGGAGTAGTACTCCACGCGAGGCTGGACTAGTGCTTTATAAAGCAAAAGTCTTTGCCCAGGCTTGAAGTACCGCTTCGCTCTATTGAGGACTTCGAGCATTTTGGGCGCCAACTTAGCTTTTCCTTCCAAATTACTCCGAAATTGGACATCTCTCAAAATGTTGACCCCAAGTATCCCGATACTCTCGGAAGGTTGCATGGATACTCCTTGGAATTGCGGCGCCATGACAAAGGGGTCCTTCTCCGAAGTGAACGCGCAAACTTGTGTCTTGAACGGGTTGGATTGAGCCAAGTTCAGTTCACCCCATTCAGAGACTCGCAGACCCCCTTCGGAGATTCACAACTTTTAAATTAAAGTTAATATACGCATTTTCATTTAACTTAAAGCTTATTTCACTATAGAATGTTTCATTCGCCGTACATGTCGTTTGTGAGTAGATGTCACGTACATAACTAACTACTTTGAATATCAGTCGGTCTCAAGATCAAAAACACTAAATTCCATGAAAATCTTTAGCGTAATGGCTGACTCATATTAAAGCTAGACATTAGTTGTGTGCCATAACAGTTGATCTGACATATTCGATATTATTATTTTTTCCCCTACCTATCCGCTGGTAACCTAAGAGGCTATTCGAGATACGTCCGGACGGGTAGATGAGCTCACGGGCTCAACCTGAGAGAATTTGCTAACACTAGCCCTAGCAAGAGCAGTGCTTTGCAGAATTTACCACCGGATCGGAATCGCGGAGAAGATCACTGGTGGTAGGACCTCTTGGGAGTCCGCACGGGTAGGTACCACCACCCCGCCTATTTCCGCCGTGAAGCAGTAATGCGTTTCGGTTCGAAGGGTGGGGTAGCCGTTGTAACTATAATGAGACCTTAGAACTTATATCTCGAGCTGGGTGGCGCATTTACGTTGTAGATGTCTATGGGCTCCAGTAACCACTTAACATCAGGTGGGCTGTGAGCTCGTCCATCCATCTAAGCAAAAAAAAAAGATCCGGCAAGAAACTCAGTGGGCTTCTTTGTTCTCTAACGTCGACACGTGCTAATTACGAGCTTAACTTAGAAAAGTTGGATCTTGCAGCAATTGCTTACACCTGCAATATTAGTTCGATACGAACATACCGGGCATTTAACATATTAGTCAATACATCACGTTCCAAAGTTAATATTAAATAAATAAACCTATATAAAGTTGTTTTTTTTTTTAATTACATTCAAGATAAGCGCGTGGCCAGGACGTGCCGATCTCGACAAACAGATGACCGATGTCCTTGACACAATATTTATGAGTGCTGTTAGTTTCGTATTCATTAGACAAACTATTGACTGCAGGGTTGATAACGCATTGAATCCATCAAACAAAAAATCATAAATCTAATCTTTGATATTTATATCCTCCCCTCCTCGGCAAACGATAGAAAAGCCAGAACGTCTTTTTTTCACTTTTGGCTATAAATAATTGTTGACATTGTTAATAAATCTGTAAGTTTTTAGTTAACTAACACTCGAGATTCTATAATGAGAGATGCGTCCGAAAGGCGAATCTATCAAACCAAGTCACACATATTCAGATCTAATAAGACGGCACAACCCTACGAACAAAAGCTGTAGTTGAGCATTGTAACAAGCACGTGCATGTCGCATACAAACACATTGACACCACAGACATCTACATTCAGGGATTTCCCTTTTGGCTTGACAATGATTCATAAACCTCCTTGTTACATGACTAAATTTTCCTCGTAAGTAAAACTAATAAGATGCTTTAAGATGCAGTCAATGGTGAGAAAAGAAATTTTTATGTTTATTGTTATCAGGTCTTTGGTCTTGTGAACAGTATTTCGCGGCCTTGACCACCCCCGATATTATTATGTCGTTTGGATTATTAAAGTACTTTGTTTTATCCGGAGCCCCAGTTCTTTTTGTTTTTTTTTTATTGCTTAGATGGGTGGACGAGCTCACAGCCCACCTGGTGTTAAGTGGTTACTGGAGCCCATAGACATCTACAACGTAAATGCGCCACCCACCTTGAGATAAGTTCTAAAGTCTCAGTATAGTTCCAACGGCTGCCCCACCCTTCAAACCGAAACGCGTTACTGCTTCACGGCTGAAATAGGCAGGGTGATGGTACCTACCCGCGCGGACTCACAAGAGGTCCTACCACCAGTACCAGTACCAGTTCGTCGTAAAATACTTGAATTAAGTTTTATAAAGTTTTTGAAATTGTTTTTAGTGCTATTCAGAAATTTCTCATTTGGTAAATAAAGGTTGGCAAAAAGCAAATTGAACAATATGTTATTGAGCATTTGTTTTTGTCTTTCACCTTATATGAATATCCACCCGGGAAAGAATCTAGATATGTCGAGAATTTATTAGCGTTTAAACTGATTCCTGCATACGAAAGCCTCATATTAAAAACGTGATGAAATCCTCCATTGGAATACACAGCTGTAATTCTCTGCAAATTATGCTTATTTCAATATTGATTTATCATGTTCGATGTGTAACACAATGAGCAGAAAATATTAAAAGCATATTTAAAGCGCGGAGGAACACGAGAGAAAGTAAAATGAGTCGTCTATTATCAAAGGCGGCAATCTGTGCATTTGGACAACAAAATTTTATTGATATGTCAATACAGATTTATTTGAATATAATCGTCTCCTTCAAAGAATACGGTTCAAAACCTGCGTTAAATAAAGGTTAATAGTTAACCTGTTATTTATCTAAGATGTCGTTCCGAAGAGTTTTGTGACTGCCGATGGAATACAAAGTCAATAATTCGTTTTTCTGATTTACCAATCATTGTCCAAAAGTCAGATTGCCGCCTTTGATAATAGTCGACTCAAATATAACAATGCAATGATAATATTTGTTTACACAAATGAAATGATACGGCAAATTTAAAATACATTGAGCCCCAGGAGTTCATTTATAGGTATCTATATATTAAGACGTGAAGCAAAAACTTTGTATCCCTTTTTAAGAAAATTGCGCGAACGGAGGAGTATGAAATTTTCCACACTTATAGAGAATATAGGGAAGAAGTGCACAATGCTAATATTTTTTTAAAATAATGCATAAAAGATACATTAAATCAATAAAGAAAACATTACACACACTACATACCATGTATTTGACGCACACACGCATGCATACTATTTATTGTCAAACTTTTGTTCTTGACGTCTGTTGTCAAATTGAGAATAGAATATGGTTTGTCTTTGTTAATATTTGTGTAGTCTTGGCGAAATTCGTGAATATAGAAGTATAAAATACAATCATAACAGTGTACAAACTTTCAATTCCAATGAATTATAGTCGAATTTCGACTACTGCGGGACCCCTAGTTAATATTATATTCTTACGACGATGTCTAATTTATTTTATTTTTTTGAACTTACAAACGGCTATCGACTTTCTATCTCAGCTGGCTTTACTTTTTTCTTTTTTTTTTATTGCTGAGATGGGTGGACGAGCTCACAGCCCACCTGATGTTAAGTGGTTACTGGAGCTCATAGACATCTACGACGTAAATGCGCCACCCACCTTGAGAAAGTTCTAAGGTCTCAAGAATAGTTACAACGGCTGCCCCACCCTTCAAACCGAAACGCATTACTGCTTCACAGCAGAAATAGGCAGGGCGGTGGTACCTACCCGCGCGGACTCACAAGAGGTCCTACCACCAGTAAGCATATCATTTTCAAATGAACCGTTTACAGGAACGAATAATGTGTTTGCAGGTTATTAACAATGGTTTGATCTTGTAAAAAAAGAATGAAACGTCACGCATAAAAGCCTACATATTTCGGAAACATATTTAAAAAAAAAAATCCAATACAAAACTAACAAATTGCTATCATATCCAATATTTCACAAACACGGCATAAGGTACGAATGATTTTATAATGAAAGGAGATCATGCGTATTTTGTGGGCTGGTTATACGCCTGGCATTAATGACGGTCACTTCAATGGCAATAAAGCTAATCGGTTCTAGTTCCAGGTATCTTTACAGAACGTGAAAGCCAACAAAGTCATCGACAATACTCAAAATACACCTAGGTCACTGAAGCAAATTAGATTTAATAGATTATATTGAAAAAGATGTGAGCACGAGCATCGTACCTGCTTATAAACAAATTATCACCAATAACTATACCTATCGTTTTCCTCAACTTAAAATTCCAGAAATCTTATACATAATTAAAACCAATCTTATACTGTTTAATCTTGGGGTATTTTTTTTAATTGCCCCTGTAGCCGACGAGCATACAGCTCACCGATGGTGAGTGGTTACCATCGCCCATGGACGACAGTAATGCCAGCGGCAAACCCAA